AAGGAAATTTTAGGGTGCATAACTGCATATATTACGAAAATAAATAGAGAAATAAAATGCACTTATATGTAGCTTAATTAAATACAAAATTGATTAAAAAGCAGCTCAAAAAAGGTGCCATCTTCTCTGTGCAATAAGTTCAGCAAAGTTCCAAAGACCATTTATTAGCAAATGAAGTCAACAACTATTGAAGTACACGTTTCCTGATATACAGACAGAAAAAGAAAAAGAAAAAGAAAAAGAAAAAAAAACTTACATTTTTTCACACTGCAAAATCAACAGACAATACAAACAAGGTTTACCGAAAAATGCACGAGCGCATGATGAGTGTACAATGTCTCTGGCTAATGCGAGTCGATCTTCTGACTAGAGTGCGATTTTGCTCTAACCTAAGCGAAAAACGTGCAATGGTTATTTTGCAACGAAAAAAAGATATCCATTGTGTTTTTACATTCGCGATAGCCTTTCATGGATTTGATAAGTCTTTCATCGTAATCAGTACATTCCCTTGAAAACAGGGTTCGTCCGGCATATGCTTGCCCCATATTCCTCGTATTCGGCTTTTGTGTGACAAGCCTGAGTGTGGAAAAATACATTTTAAAAAAAAAAAAATGTTTTCTATAATTTCTAAACTTCTAATCCCAGTTAATTTAGAATCTGCAGGCAGAATAATATATAGACAGAAAATCAAAACTACCGTGAAAAATTCTTGAGTGGATGCAAGAACCGAGCCTCCAAACCAAACTGCGTATCTCTGGATCGGGCGGCTGACGACATTTACTTCCACAGGTTCTGCCTGGAGAAAAAATCATTCAGCACAAGTGAACACTTACACAAGAACCATTATTTAGACTTACAAAATATTAAAAAGAAAATATTAGAAGTCCCTTGTTTAGTTTCTAATTCTTGGATCAATACTTTGGACATGTAATTCTGAAAGATAGTTGATTTCCTTTTTCGGCAAAAAATGCATTTTTAGTCCTGTTTAACGTTATAGCAATTTTAGTTCCAAAGTTCCAACTTTTCGCCTTTTGGTCATATGATTTAATATTTTGGTGACTGAAATTGTAGCAAAATATTAAATCACGGGACTAGAATTGCAACAAAATTTTAAATTACATGACTTAAATTGGTAATTAAAAATCTGGGAATTTGTTGCAACAAAATATTAAATCAGAAGACCAAATCTTGGGACTAAAATTACTATGGCATTAAACCAACAGGACTAAAAATGCAGTTTAGCCTTCGTTTTTTTCTTTTTTTTTTTCTTCCGTTTGGTGATTATCTCCAAATTAAGAGGTTATACCGTTAACCCTCCACCAAGTCTGGCATCAACAATTTTTTTTAGATCCCTTTGTAGCCTTCTGTTGAAATCTTTGAACATGGTTGAGCCTCCGGATAACACGATGTTCTGCAATCGAACAAGTTTTGTACTCTTATTATAACAAAATTCGTTGAAAAAAAAAACGAAAACTGGATTTTTCTGGTTAATTGAAGATATTATTGTCCAATGTCACCTTATACAAAGCTCTTCTTGTATCTATTGGTGCTGACTGAATGCATTTGTCAATGACATCAGGCAAAGGCATCGTGAAATCACTACTGCAAATTTCAGGATTGAAGAAAACCTGCACAAGAAAATTGTCATCAATCAATCACAAAAAAATAAAAGAAAAAAGAAAAGGAACAAATGAGAAAGAAAATACTTCCTCTTATAATTTCAGTAAAGACAGACCTCGGGGCCGAGAAAACGTTCATAGCCTACATCACAGGAGTATGGGGCCCCAGTTTTCGGTTTAGTACCTCTCCATTGTTTAATATACTTTGCTGGCTCCTTATCATGCTTATTGAACTCCTGAACTCGTTAAGGATCATTAAACTAGTTAAATAGAACAGACGTGTCATATTAGAGATGTAAAACATAAGACATTTGTGATTATGAAACCAAAATGGGAAAGTATATGAGATTTCCTCAAGATACACTTAATTTTCATCCATATTCGAATAGAGAAACAATAGAACTAAGTTT